GTGATCATAGCACTAGAGCGTATTTATTTACACCCAGTCCTATCGTATAGACCACTATAGGTGGTTTCGACTCGTGTGCAGGCATACTTGTTGAGCTATAAATTCAGCCATTCAGGCTACTTTATGAGGATTCGGCTGATATGTTATTTCTCATGAATTAGTTCACCTGAGTTACTTATTCTGTCATTTTGAGATATTTGGCATGGCATACCTATGAATATCGATGTCTGAGCATGGTTTTGTGATATGTATATATAGATTCTATTTTATGGGAAATTATACAGGTTTTACGGCTAGGGGTTAGAACTTTTGATAAATGAAATGGTTTTGAAATGCTTTGTTTTTGCCCACTCACACTTTCTATTTTGCACCCCTCCAGGTTTTAGGTAGGAGTGCTCGTTGTTGGCTCACGAGGAACTCACGGCAGCTCTGACAGATTATCACTAATGTAGGACCATATTTGATATTGTATAATTAGTATTCGTCCTACTAGACTGCACTTAGACTTCTTATGCTCTGATTATCGCACTTACACTTTACCTTATTTAGTGTTCTAGTTGGTTTTGTTTTATTTATTTATTCACATTTTCTTATATTAATATTGCTTCCACACTGTGCACATGGCTACGTCACTCTGACGTGACAGCCAGCATGCCTCGATCTAGGTCGGGATGTGTCATACAGAGCCTGAACTAGAGTTTCAAAAATGGAATTGGGATTTTTTAGTAGGCAAGTTGGAGGCAAAGAGGTGTTAAAAATAAAATGTCCATACTATCCTTTAATTTAACGTCTATTTGATGGAAGAGATGAAAATGGGTGGACTAAAACTAAATGAGACAAAAATAGCAGTTTCATAGGGCAAAGTGAGACAAAACCAATTTCATAGTGTAAAATGGGACTAAATGAGTTTAAGGGTGCAAATCAATTAATAAGCCAAAATTTATTTACTAGTTCAGTTTGAGTTGGGGTTCTTCGAAGAGTTAAGTGTAGATATTAATTGGGCCAACAAAAGTACCCAATTAATAACATACCACTTCTTTGGAGAAACGCCTCCTTAACCCCCAGAACTCAGAACTGGAGCATTTTTCTTTGGCCTAAATGTTAAATTAGTCCTTGTGTTTTACCCATTTAACAATTTAGTCCCTGTATTTTTAATTTGATTGATTTCGTCCTTGTGTTTTACTTCATTAGTCAATGTGATCCTTTCCATCCAATAACTGTATTTTTTTTAAATATGTCTCAAATTGATATAAAAATAAGAGTAAAAGATAAAATAAAAAGAAAATAAGAAAACCTTAAAAGATTACTAAATAATAAAAACTATAAACAAAAAAATTGAAACCCTAGCCCATCCAACCCTTCAACGGTCCCCTACCGAAGACAACACACAACCACCATGACAGCCCCAATAGCCACCCCCTCCTCACTGGAGTCAACTCCACATGAACATGAACTCTACCTTCATATTTTCATCAATCACCCTACCTCTAGCCATGTCATCTACAAACCCAACACCTTTATCGCTCGATCAGCTCCAAGCTTTCTCTGTTGATCCCTTCCCTTTCACGCCCTCATGATAGGGAGATTTATTTATTTATTTTGAACATAAATGATATTATCTACACTAAGGTCATCTCCAACCGAGTCGACCAAAGGACCATAGGCCAAAACATAACCTGTTTTGACACAAAACCCATCTCCAATGAAGGGTTGGGCTAAAAAAATTTGAGACCCGCCTGACCAAAATATAGCCAAATGGTCAAAAAGCTGGGCAAACATAACTAGACAGCCAGCTCTAAAAGTTAGGCCCAACTGTGTTGCTAGTTGACGTCATGTAGGTTTTCTTTAGACAAAATTTAAAAAAAAGATTAAAAATTCTAATTTTTCCGATAAATACCTAAACCATTTCTACATCATTTCTCACATCATTTTCACCCTTCCATACTATATTACCTCATTTCAATGTCAAGATTGTTAACATGCATGTAAAATTAAAATATTTAATAACATGAAACTTAAGACAACATTTAGCGACAAATGACTCTCAAAATATGTCTGGAAACCGTATTTAATATGGTAGTTTAGTTTATTTAACCGATAAATGAAAGAACAAACTTAAAATAATAAATTATTAAGAGAGCTAAAAAATAGCTCCCTTTGGTTGGAGATTGTATATAGATATGGCTTGACATTGTTCATTAAAAAATAATTTTTTGTAGGGCTATAATCTGGATGGGGCTAAACGTAGCCCCTTCGGCCCTCCAATGGATTGGGCCATAGGGCTATATGTTCTTTTATAGGCCAAAATGAAGAAAAAAATCATCTCCAATGGAGGTCCAGGCCAAAGGAAAAAGGAGATCCACTGGGCCAAACTCTAGCCCATGACCATCAGGCTGGGCATTTGAAGCCAACCCGAAAGCTAGGCCCAACTGTCAGCAACATAGATGTTAGCTGACGTCAGCTAGCCGTTAGATTGAATTTTTTAGATGAAATTTAAAAAAAAAAATTAAAAATCTATTTTTTTTTTCAGGCTCAGGTCCTCTTCGGAGCTTTCAAAGCGGAGCCTACTGACCAATTTAATAATGGGCGTTAGATGAATATCCTATGACTAATCATTTATTCTTCTTTTTAATGGTTTTCACGTTAAATCAATATCTCTTTTCTCTCTCAATTTCAGTTGAAAAAAAATTTCGGAACTTTCTGTAGTTTTCTTCCCTTTTTCCATCAAAAAGCTGTAACCATTTGAAGTAGAAACAATTTCAATTTCACATCAAAATATCCACCTCTCTATCTTCTCTTTCAACATTGAATTAGCAAGTCCGCTGTCACCGCTGCTTCTCTTTTAGAGGGCTGCTCCTCAAGTGTTTGAGTGCCGATCTGCGGGAGACAGCCCAAGCGACGATCTTCGGTCTTAATTGTTTTCTCGTCAAATACAGAATATGAAATTTTAATGGGAATTTTTCTCCTCTTTCTCCTTTCGTGGCTTGGCTGTTCAGATTTAATTTCTAGGTTATAAGTGTGTTTGGAATGGAGGACTTGTTTGGGCATAATTGAAATTAATTTTTCGGAGTGTAAGAAATGGTGAAGAGAAGAATGTGAAGATTGAGAGAGAAGACAATGAATAAGAGGAGGGAGGCGTTTTGTAAAGGAAAGAAAGAATTCAAATTAATTATGGCCATCCACTTTTTAATTTAACACTACTGCTTGAAGGATCCCTAGGATCCTTTTTCCTATATATATATATATATATATATTTAAGCCATTTCTCACGTCATTTTCACCATTCCATACTATCTTACCTCATTGTATTTATATTCTTCGCATTCTTTAAACTCTTATCCAAAAAAGTAATATTTTTTTTTGAAGCAAAACAAACATAGCATTTCGAAAAATTAGTAAAATTACATAAAAAAAAAAAGAAATATGAAGAGTTACTCATTTATAAATATAGTTGTTTAATTCAATTAACTAATAAAATTAAAGAAAAAACTTAAAAAACAATAAATTATTGAGGAGACTAAAAAATAGCCCCTTTCGATTGGAGATGATATATAAATATGGCCTGGCAGTGTTCATTAATTTTTTTTTTTTTTTTGCAGGGCTATAATTTGGACGGGGCTATAATTTGGAGATGGCCTAAGAAGATGGGGGAGTGAGTTAAGCCTCACAATGGGCTAACAATAATGTGGTTGAAATTTACCTTTTGTAAGAATCGAACTCTTACTTACAAGTGAAAAGGAATACCACTAGACGGTATAGTACTAAGTGACTTCAGAGTTGGAGAATAAGAGCATCTCCAATGAAGATCTCAAAAGATAAATTTCAAATGTTAATTTGATGGCTGATGTGGCAATGTCAGATTTTCTCTTTCTCCAACTGATTTTTTTTTTGTTATAAATGATATTTGTAGGACCCATTTTCAAAAAGAAATCAATTAAAATAAATTTTCAAGATCTATAATTGGCGCATTGATGAGACACACACAATAAAATAATTAAAAAATTATTTGACATCACATTTTCTCATATGTCAAATTTGACATATGAAAATTCATATGTCAATCCACATAAGATTGACATTTTGGTTAGACGTTCTTGTTACCTTCAAATTTGATAACATGACATTCGACTTAGGATTTGACATCTTCTTCGAAGATAATCTAAAAAAAACTTTCCATCAAATAAAATGCCCTTCCATATAGATTGTCACATGAACTAACTTTGTCAATAAATTACTAGCCTTCCTATTGATCTTGATTAGTTTCGGCTTGTTGAGAGTTCTCTTTTCTTTCTAGACCGATCCTAGTGTTAGACCTAAAACACTTGCTTATCTCGCATGTGCTTTCGAAGCCCTCACCCATCCAATCACTAATGGACTACATTAACTGATGGAGTAAAACATAAGAATCAATTTGGCCAAACTTAAACACGAGGATTAAATTGGCATATGAATAAAACTCAAGGACTATTTTTTAACATTGGAGCTCTTTTTTATTTTTATATATAGTAGAATTTCAAAATTATAAAACTCAAATTGCATCTCATTATAAACAGATATTTGTATGTAAAACAGTAAAAGTTATTTTCTCTTCATCTATTCATCTCACTTTTTGGATGAATCCAGGTATGTTCTGCATGTAGACAAGGATTAATCCCTCGAGTCGAGTCGAGTCGCACCTCATTCGAGGGGCAAGCTCTCCCAATGATTTTAAAACTAATAATTTTTTTTAATTTTTTTAACCAATGATGTCATTTACCTTAAAATCAAAACGTTTTAAATTAAAAATGAACAAACTCATGGTTCAGCTTGGCCCATCTATACAAGCCCCCCCCCCCTCCCCACCCATTAACGGTTGGTTTCGAAATTAACCCTCATCCAAGTCATTAATTACCACTCGACATAACCAAAGCGCCAATGCCGCAAATACCCCAAAAACACCCGGGCAATTTAGTCATTTTGTCCAACCGTGCATCATAAAATGCTTTCGTTTAAAAAATTTTGCGAAATAAAAATTCCAAAAAACAGAAAGCTAAAATCGATTTGGGGATTTCACTTCAGCCTTTTGTCTCCGTCTCTTCTCTCTTTTGCCTGAGGAGGTGTTCGAAGCACCTCTTCGGATTTATTTGATTTCTCTCTGTTTCTCTGGGATTTGAATTACCTTCCCAATGGCGTCCGAAATCTCAAACGACAAGACCGCTGTTTTCAGAAAACTGAAAGCAAGGTCAGAAAACAAGGTTGGTTTTCTTTAGTTTCATTTTTCCTTTTTTTTTTTGTATTTTTTTTTCAATTTTTTTTATGGGTTTTTAATTTTTGTGAAAAATTCGATATGGGTTTGTGAGATCTGATTCAGATCTGTGAATTCTTTGCTGAGATCTTTATTTATTTGCTTTTTAATTTATCTTGTGGTGTATTTGGTTCAGATGTGTTTCGATTGTAATGCAAAGAACCCGACTTGGGCGTCGGTTACATATGGGATCTTTCTCTGCATCGATTGCTCGGCCGTTCATCGCAGTCTCGGCGTTCATATCAGCTTTGTTAGGTATGATTTCGTATAGCAGTAACAGATTCTTAATTCTCTCAATCTTCGATTCGTTAAGTTTTCGGTGTTGGCTTGGAGTCACCACATATACATATATGTATGTATGTATGTATGTATGTATTTATGCTGCTAATTTATGTTTGGAACTGGAAACACGGTGAAGGGGTTGATGCATGTAGCCTGAATGTTGGGGATCCAAGCAATAGTTTGTTTCATTAATTAAATCTTAGGAATTTGGTGACTCGATGCACATTTGATCGAATGGAATTGAGGGTGTTGCATTGTCCATAGTGCACAAGATCATCCTTTATTCTAGAAACCATAAACTGTCACATGCATTGTTCTGAAATATGCAAAAGTAGACAAGAAACTGCAGATACACAAACAAACAAATACCAGGTACCTTTTAGTTTTATGTAATTCAGAATGCATTGTTGTTGTCGTTCTGGATGTTTCTGCAATAACATATGCTTTTGTTGATTGTTACTTTCTGACTTACTTGGCCGCTCTGCTTTTTTCGGGAAATCTTTGCTCCTGCTCCTAATTTGAAGGAGGAATTTTGGTTTGAATAAGCAAGCCTTTTTGCTTTTTCCCTGTATGGTGATAGTAAATTGCAGACTAGCTCTAGCAATGAATAAGACGTTAAGGTTATAAGAAAAGGTTAGCTTCATGTTTTAACCTTAAAATCTCCGTTTAGTTTTTTAATGTAATTTCTAGTCAATGGCCAATAGAGTGATGGTCACAGTTGTTCATTGGCAAATCTTATCTAGTGTTGTGCAATATACAATGCTTGCATAGAAATGTCTTAATAGTTGCTCCTCTTGTTGTTAAGGACGGGGGAATCTTCGCCTTAAGGACGTCAAAGCTTCCTAGTCTTTGGTTGGTTTGGGATCAAGGCAGCCAGCTTGGCAATTAGAGAGACAAATCTTCCACATTCCAACGTTAGGCTTGCTAAGAAATAAGAATACAGCACCATCATGGGTGGATCTGATAGTCTGATTTCAGATTTTATTTCCATCAAATTGTTAAAATCTTATTTCCCTATTTAATGATTCTAACTTTCTAAGTTTACATCTAAGTTGCTTTTTAATATATATTTTGTCTTCATAATGCAAAGTAAAACTGAAAGATTGTTTATTTTTCAATTATTTGAGGTTGAAATCAATTTGATGTTAGATTATTTAAATTTTAACAAAATTTTATTTGATAATTTATCATATTGACATTCTTATTTAGATTTTTCTTTAAAATAACTGTCAAATCAACAATGAAGGCAATGACAAGTGTCTTACATTTGTTTTTAACCTTTTATAGATCTACAAATTTAGACTCGTGGACTCCTGAACAGCTGAGAACGATGAGCTTCGGGGGGAAACAACCGTGCACAAGTTTTCTTTAAGCAGCAGCATGGATGGACGGATGGAGGCAAAATTGAGGCTAAGTATACATCAAGAGCTGCCGAGTTGTATAGGCAAATACTTTCTAAAGAAGTTGTCAAAAGTATGGCAGAAGAGGCAGGTCTTCCACCATCACCTGTTACATCTCAGTCAGGACAAGCATCTAATGGGATTCTTGATGTTAAGACCCAGGAAGCTCCAAAAGAGAACTCTATAGCAAGGAAAGAAACGCCTGAAATCGCTGCTTCCCAGAAAGCCCCCCATACATATGTTACCAGTACTGTTAAGAAGCCTCTTGGTGGTGCTAAGAAAATTGGGAAGACTGGGGGTCTTGGTGCTCGCAAACTTACTACAAAGGTTGTGATTGCTTACTTAAATTGGGGTAGATTATTCATAGTAGTATCTTTGAAATCTGTTTCTTATTTGATTATATGTTAACCTGAAGTCCTCTCTCTTAACTTTATCAAATGCAGCCAAATGAAAGCCTGTACGATCAGAAACCTGAAGATCCAGTTGTCCCACTGCCAGTGTCTTCCTCAACTAACAGCACTCCAACAGCTGGATCATCCTTTGCATCTCGCTTTGAGTATGTAGAAATTGTCCAAAATACTGAGACAAATCCCACTGGCGCTCATGTAATTAGCCATATTGCTCCACCAAAGTCATCAAATTTCTTTGCAGATTTTGGAATGGACAGTAACTTTCCCAAGAAAACTAGTTCAAATACCTCAAAAGTTCAAGTAAGTTATTTATGACCGACATTAACATGTAAAGTTGTTTTCTCACAAGAACTAGTTCAGATACCTCACAAGTGATGGAGCTATTTCTGTTTCCGTGTCACTTGATTATTATATAAAGGTTCCTTACAAGCCCTAAATTGTGGATTTAGCGTATGCAATTTAAAAAATGTCATGTGCCCAATTCCTTAGATACATGTTTCACCATGCAAATTTTTTATGTGCCCAAGTCCTTTGATACATGTTTCACTATCAGACCAGGAGCAACGAGTTGACATGATTTAGAAGTGTCAGGGTGATAAATTTAAGAGAACCAGACAGGTTAAACTTTTCCTATCATCCTGTTGAGGAAAGAAGAAAAATAGACAGGCACTATATTCCTAGGAAGCGAAGCGAAACAATAGTCAGGCACAAATCTATTCTTTTTTTATTCTGATAAAAAAGTAAGAGATGATTTCAAGACAAATAGGCAGAGTATGATCTTTAACGAGATGAATGAGATTATTCTTTATGTTACTTGAACTGGCTCATTGATGCTTGGTGAGGAGTGCTCTTTTTTTTATCCATTCCCCGTTCTATGTTGTTTTTAAGCAGCAAACCATATACCTCAAATGGTAAGTCCTTGTTTATTGAATAGTAGAGTTACATGCAGAATAAATTTCTTATGACAGTTGGAATATGCAATCCTCGCATGACACTAACCAGTCCAGCTGACTTGGCTCTGCTATATTATATGTGGAAATAAAGTGTGCCTTGTGAGATTGTGTTAACTATAAACCTGTTCAGGAAAATTTAAAACGCATATATTCTTCAGAAGAATGTATACTGTTGGTGGTTTCCTCAATCTAAAAATTGTCTTATATTGTTCGCTCTTTTGGATGTTTGCAATTGGCCTTTTGCACTTGGATATTGATTCCTAGAGACACACCTATAAGAGTAAATTTGTGACATGTGAAGACTTAGTTATGTCATGGTTCAGAACACTCTGAAAACCAGTGTTCATTTCTGTGCATGTTATTTTTTCGTTAAACATTCAGGTTTTATTGTTTTTCAGATTCAGGAGTCTGATGAAGCAAGAAAGAAATTCACAAATGCAAAATCTATCTCTTCCGCACAATTTTTTGGTGACCAAAGCAGATCTGCTGATGTTGATGCTCAAACCTCCTTGCAGAAGTTCTCGGTGTGTCATCACTATTATAATACCATGTTCATATTCATGTGCTTCTTTTGAATTATGGTACCACATCTCTGTTTTTTTTTTATTTCTTTCTGGTTGAAGTTTTATCATCTTACTACTCTTGGTCAGCTAGACCTCATATTGGCATAGTATATATATCCTAGGGAAAACATAAAACCAAAGTAAATTGTCTTTTGAATATTAAAGCGTCTGTGAGATGCAAATTAGTTTAGATTTTTTATTGGTAACTACCATAGTGAGATAGTGAGTAAGCACACATGGTACGCCTAAATACTTTTACATTACAATAACAACAACAACAACAAAGCTTTATCCCACTTAGTGGTTGGATGTAGTATGAATCCATGTTTTGCCGTTTTATTAAACAAAATGAATACAAAAACAACAACAATAAAACCTTTATACCATTAAGTGGGGCCGACTGCTTGAATCCTAGAATGCCACTGCACTTGGTGTTGTGCTAAGTCTTCTATTAGCTCCAAGTACTCCATGTCTTTTTTTTTAAAGTCTCTATTTAAGTCTTCCTAAGTCTTCCTTTACCCCTTTCACCTTGAGCCTTCGTCCCATAATCACATTTTCTATTCGGAGCTTATGCGCTCGGGACCCATCTTTTCTATGCTTAATTTTTTTCAAAGCTACAACCACTTCCTCTTTCCTGATTCGGCGATAGAAGAAGTTATTTTTTACACCCTTCTGAGTTACACAACTCACCCAAAAGAAGTACTCTTTTCGTGTCTTTCATTGAAAATATTATGAAAATAAGCTCTCCTGCCTATAACCGCGTTCTCTGTAGTTAAAACATTTTCATTTCTCATCCTTTCTTTGCCTCCTCCCTCGATCTTTTATACCTCTCAAAGTTTTCATCGGTTCTATTCTTGTGTAAGGCTTTACAATGTTCTTTCTTAACCTTAACCTTTTCCTGTACCTTCTCCTTCCACCATCAAGATTTCTTTTGATGTGGAGCAAAACGGCCTCTTCTAATACCCCTTTTGCAACTTTTTGGATACAGCTAGCCATGGAATCCCACATTTGGTCAACGTTCTGATCTGTATCTCTAGTGCATTGGCTGAGTACTTTCTCCTTGAAAGTGACTTGTTTTTCTCCTTTTAGATCCACCATCTAGTAGGCTCTTCCCGGTAATTTGCAATCTGTACCAGTTATACGATCTCCCTTCCTCATTAAAAGGAAATCTATTTGTGTTTTTGATGACCCACTCTTGTAGATGATCACATGGTTCGATTAAATTTTTACATATCTTATGCTTATTTTTCATGTCTGGACATGACATTTGGGAGTGCTTGAAGTTATAAAACTTTTGTGTGAAACTTTAGCATTGAAAGTCAATACCAAATTGCCAATATATTTGATATGCTGAGATAGTGAGAAATCTAAGAGAATGAATTTAGCAGTTGATAACACAATTGTCCTTCTACATCCAGGGTTCTGCAGCCATCTCCAGCGCTGATCTATTTGGTGACAGGGGAGATAATTCAGCTATTGATCTTACTGCAAGCGACCTAATCAACCGACTGTCGTTTCAGGTATATGCCTTGCACTGGTAGACAATAAACTTTGCCGGTTGTTTTTTTGTGTTGTATGTCTTTGCTTTTGAATTTCCATCCTGAGTTTTGTTTAATTAATTTGGGTTTAATCGGTGGGTGATCCTTTCCAGGCACAACAGGATCTCTCTTCCTTAACGAATATCGCGGGAGAGACCGGGAAGAAGCTTAGTTCCTTGGCGTCCAATTTAATGACGGATCTTCAGGACAGAATCCTGTGATGTTGATATGCTGTGTGTCCATTTGTTAAAGCGTATGTAGGGATTGCAAGGAGGGGTTGATGAAATTCTTTCAAAGAAGGCAAGACTTGACGAAAATTCTCGAGGCCTAAGAGTGGCGGGTTGGCGGGTGATTTTTTTCGTAGAACAGGAAACTATTATTGTTCTGAGATTGTGGAGTATATGTGCTCTTGTTTTTGTAAACCACCGTAACATTACTGCTTTGTGTCAAGCGAGCAACGCGAGAATACTGTATTCTCTTAAAACTGTGAATTTGTCCCTACCCAATTTTAATTCAATCTCGAATACGGGTCCCTTGCAAGGAACGTGTCGTTGAAGGCTGCGTTATACAAGGGATGGCAACATGCAATTTATTAACATCCCACGACACTACGAATTGACACTAATACAAGATATGTGCGATTTGATGAAACATTAACACGAAGACAAGATGTGTCAAAGCAGTTACATGTACAACTTAAAATATAGGTACCTTACCGAATATGACACAAAGCTACCCGACATGCCGGATTATTATTTTTTGATAGAAAAGGAACTTTATTAAAGAGAAAAGCCTCTACGACAGATTCTTTATTTTATTTATTTATTTAATAGAAAATGACTTCATTAAAGAGAAATGGCCCTAGGGCATCCAGTTTGGGTACAATCAAACAAGAAGGCTTGACAAGTAACCAAAGGAAGAGTTCTATCCCATACATGAAAATCAACAACAGAGTAACCGATACTAGTTATAGCATCTGCCAGAAACTTGGCTTCCCTAAAGACATGTTTCCAACAAATGTCCTAAAAGAAAACCAGCAAGCCAGCGAATTTCCTCCAAGATGGACTTCAATCTCCAAGGAGTAATTATCATTAATAGCCAAAATTTAACACCAAATTTCATAAATGTTACTTTTTATAAAAACTTTCAAATATAACAGAAAACTCACATGAATAGACCTAAATACCTTCAAAATCGACATCCATATATAGAAGAAATTCAAGAAAGTTGGGATGCATGATTGCAATCATAGTGTATTCCTGACATTCCTGATGCCTGGAATGAATTGTTGTTTCTCCATTTGCTCCATTAGTATATTTGCATCTTGAACAAGCGCATCAATTCTAGTTTGTTTGTGCCATACTCAGTGCACAAATGAGTTAAAACATATGGTAATCAATTTTTTTCTGCATAATGATAACAAGATATACAGGCTGATTAATACCCAATTTTTTCCCAAAATTAAGGCTCGATGTTGCTGTTCTCTCATAGTTGAAGCAAGATTGGGATCCTGCAGTTCTGAAAGCTCCACCTATAACATATATGGAGCAGAAGTAAAGATAAGCATGAATAAATTATCCAAATTTTTTACAAGAAAATTTTGAAACAATGAATATTTATGTTCTGTAAATTAATCTACCTCACTAGCTAGAAGCAGACTAGGGCAATCATCTGCATTGGGTACGTAGAAAAAACACCGTACAGCTGCCAAAAGTTATCTTCCTTATCAAATGCGTATATAAGACCTAGTTTGGGGAGTGAGGTGCTTAAAAAAAAAGCACCCATGAAAAAAAGCTGTGAGGGTTTTAGGTGTTTGGTAAACTGAAAAAAAATGGTTTATTTTGGAAGCTGCTGTGAGAATAAGCTGAAATCAAAGGAAAAAGCTGAAGCTGCTATTTGCAGCTTTGGAAAACTGGCTTTTTTTCAAAGCACACGGAGCTACAGTGCTTCTTTAATGAAAAGACCTACTATTAGACTGCTTTTTTTTTCCAAAAGCACTTTTACAAAAAAAGTTTACCAAACACTCTGCTGATTTATTTCACAGCCGCTTATTCTCACAGCACAGCCGCTTATTCTCACAGCAGTTTTTTTTCAAAGCACAGCAATACCAAACCAGCCCTAAGAAGGATTGCTAACCTCAGATCCCAATTTGTCTGCCATTGACTATTTTTCCTCATTGAAAAACTATGTAGTTAGAAGAGGCCACAATTCAGATTTTTTTTCATTACATTACCAACTACATCCTTATTTTATTTGGTTTTAATTTTGAGGGTATTTAAGTCTATTTAAGTGGGTTTTATGTTATTTTTGAAAGATTTTAGAAAAAGTGACATTTATGAAATTAGGTGTTAAATTTTGGCTATTACCGATAACTTCTCATCTCCAAGGGGGGTTATAAGCTCCATGGATGGCCTCAATCACCAGCTTCAAATCACCATCCACCACAATACGAGACAAAACCTTAGACCTTGCCATCCACAAACTATCCCGTAAAGCTAGACATTCCGCAATAGAGATAGTATTCTGACCAAAATAAATCTAGCTCCCACAATAATAGGCTTCCCTTTCTCATTGCTAATCATAAATCCAGCAGCAGCACCTGATTCACCACCGAGCCATCAAATTAAGTTTAACAAAAACCAGGATTTGGAGGGGACAACCGGATAGAGGAGGGCGGTGGAGACCTCATACCATGACAACCTTCAGGAACCATGCTGTTGGCAATGATGAAGTCTCTTCCAAATTTGGAACACAACCAGATTCTTCTCTTTCCAAATTTGCCAGCAAATTAGTAAAGCTTTGCTAAGATCACATAAACCTTCATCACTCTTGACAGCTAGAGCATTTAGCCAGTCATTAAAGAGGAGAGATTGATTTTAAAATGAACACTTATTGATTTAAAATGAACACTTTTCCTAATACCTAATCCCCCATTTTCCTTTTCCTTAGAACTACACGATTTATTCCAAGCCACAAGGACAAGCTTTCAATCTTTACCCCATGAAAATTCCTGCTTTCCCTATCAATAGCATTTGTAACTTTCTCTCAGGACAGTTAAAACAAGACATAGGGGTGGTTTGGGAGTGAGGTGCTTAAAAAAAAAGCACCCATGAAAAAAAGCTGTGAGGGTTTTAGGTGTTTGGTAAACTGAAAAAAAAGGGCTTATTTTGGAAGCTGCTGTGAGAATAAGCTGAAATCAAAGGAAAAAGATGAAGCTGCTATTTGCAGCTTTGGAAAACTGGCTTCTTTTCAAAGCACACGGAGCTACAGTGCTCCTTTAATGAAAAGACCCACTATCAGACTTTTTTTTTTCTTTTCCAAAAGCACTTTTACAAAAAAGTTTACCAAACACTCTGTTGATTTATTTCACAGTCGTTTATTCTCACAGCACAACCGCTTATTCTCACAGCAGCTTTTTTTCAAAGCACAGCAATACCAAACCAGCCCTATGGTTGGGGACACCTAATAAATTAGCTTTTATAAGAGTTAGCCTTCCAGCTTTAGAAAGGGTATTTGCCTTCCAACCAGAAAGTTTATTTTTAATCTTGATTATAAGCTCCTTTGCATTAACTTGATCCTTCCAGAAAATGATATTGTGAATGCCTAGGTACCTACCAATAATGGTTTTATGTTGGATCACTAGAATATTAACAATATCATTTTTGGTATGTTTAAGCGTATTATTTGAAAAATAAAAGAGAAGACTTATGAAAATTTATCTTTTGACCTGAGGCATGAGAGAAATTATCTAGCATCTTAGCAATATTCTTGGCTGCAGTACTAGTAGTGGTTTTGCAAAAATTAGACAATTGTCTGCACACATCATATTTGTAGTTCTAAAACCTCGAGGGGCAGTCAACAAGCCAACATTACTTTAGAAGATTCTCCAATTTTATCTAAATGTCTAATCAAAGGTTCCATACAAAGGATAAAAAATATAAGGAGATAGAGGGTCTCCTTGCCTAATAGCTCTAGAAGGACAAAAATAACCATGAGACTTACCACTCATAAGGATACAGAAGGATGTCGAAGTAATACATTCCATGATAAGCTTGATCCAATGATCATTAAAACCAAATTTAACAGGCACAGCTTTAATATAATTCCAACTGAGGAAATCATAGGCCTTTTCAAGGCCTAGTTTAATAGCCATTGCACCATTTTTTACCTTTAAAAGAGGAAAACACTTCATGAGCCCTAAATGGATCTTCCTGAGCAAAAGCTCCCTGGTTCTTGGAAATGCACCTATTTAATAAAGGCTTAATTCTACTCACCAATATTTTAGTAA